GCTGTCTAGATTGAGAGTAATGTTTTTTCATGTAAAGGCGCATGTAATTTTTTTTAAATCCTTAGCCTTTCAGTCTGATTTGATCATGCACGTCTCAGTTTTCTCAACCGTACACCCTGACCAGATATAGCATGTTATGCTGATCACAGTGGTGCCATCTATGCACAGGTTAAAACTCAAGCAAGACATTAATCATTTCATCCCATCTACGCAACACAGACGAAAGTGTGCTGTCCATCGCAGGCACACATGGGTTTTCGCTCTGCTTTGACAAGGGCAATCAACGAGTTTCTGTAAGGCATCAAACAAGTGAAAAACAAACCAAGCACTTAATCATGGTACAAGCTTATGCTACAATAGATTTGATTCCTGGACACAACCATAAAACATACGAAGAGGGCCACCCAAGGCAAAGCAGAGCTGGCAGGACAGCTGCTTACTCTGCAACCAAGACGTGGGGATGTCCTAGCGCACCTAGACACAGCTATGCCGAGCACCACCTCGATGCAGAAAGCGGTGAACGAGCACCTGTACTACATACATACAACGACGTACAGAGCTGAGCTATTCTAGAGCAAATAGGCTGGCAAGAGCATCAGAACAGCCTACATAGGGGTGCTGCGCGCCGACGGAGCTCTACACAAGGAGATAGAAGTGCAGGCGCTTCGAAGGGTCCGCGGCTGGCCGTTCCGAACAGGACTCACAGTGGCGGCCAGCAGCTTCGGCAGTGCTGTCACCGATAAGCGGTACGTCTTAGCGCACCTCGACGTAGCGATGCCGAGCACCACTACGATGCAGAAAGCATGAAGCCAATGAGCTCACACCGGTTCTGGAGCAATTTGCGGAGACAGTCATGCACGAGAATCATGAGCTTCTCAGGCAGCTAAAGGCCACGCTGCACGAAAGGGATGTCCGCGATGGTGAACCGGTGTTCGTGTCAGCGCAGACAATGTCAACACACGAGCCCGCAGCGACATGATGGTGAACAAGAAAATGAATTTTTTTCATACATAAACTACATTACAAACATCGAACAAATGGTGGATAGAAGACTTCTCTCAAGAGATACAATGCCAAAATCCCTGGTGTTCCTTGTGGACATAGGGCATGAGAATGGCCAAGTTTACCTGGGAAAAGATAATCAACCAGGATGTCACTGGACCATGTGCCATGTAAACATGCATAAGCAACTGATGCTCTACGAAGACTCACTTGGTTGGACCATTCCACATGGTCTTGTTGACAAACTAAAGTGCTTCTTTAATGCATTTATGAATAAATTATTTGTAATCTCCACCAAACGCTCATTATTTACTAGCATTTATGCTATTAACACAATTGCTGGTCCTTTTCCGACCACCAAATGCGTAAATAGCAAGGAATTTGACAAAATGTATTTCCATAACCGCAGACCAATTTTATGCATAAACTGGCTAAGCCAAGGTCATGTGACCTGCGGTTCCACATGTGTGACGTCATAGTTGGGAGTTATTCTGCCGACGGCCATCTTCTGTCAGTGTTTTACATGCTACTAGTAGTACGGAGCTAGTCTAGTACCCAGCTAACACATAACGTTTTCGCAACGTTTTTGAATGGTTATTTTATGGTTTGGTATGAATGAAACGTTTTCCAAACGTTCGTAAAACGTTTCTAGTAAAGTTATATTTAGGTTATTTAAAAACGTTTGCTAAAAACGTTCTATTACGGTTAGTAAAACGTTTATAATAAGGTTATATTTAAGTTATTGAAAAACGTTTGCCAAAATCGTTTTGTTAACGTTCAGTAAACGTTGATCGTAACGTTACATGTCGGTTCCTAACAAACGTTTGCCAAAAACTTGTTATAACCCACTACGTGACATTTAAAATAAGGTTGTGAAATGGTTCCCTAAAAACGTTGAAAACCAACGTTTATTTACTGTTTGCATTACCAAGCCTATGTTTAGGTTCCTGACAAACGATTTACCATAACTAAATTTTATTCATATTTACGCGGGCGCGCACACATACGTAAGCATGCACGCACACACGCACGCATGTACATCCGTGCACACGCATATGGCAGGCGAGGTGGGACATAAATGGTATTTAAACGAAATGCACCAAGGGGAGAGCAGTATATGGCGTCCCTACCAGAGGTGAGGTTGGTTCCAGACAAGGCTCCATTCACATACATAGGGATCGACTACTTCGGACCATTAACGGTGAAACAGGGACGTAGTCAGGTCAAGCGATATGGCTGCCTCATTACTTGTCTTACGACGAGGGCCGTGCACATTGAGATCGCGCACAGCCTAGAGACAGATTCGTTTCTAGCAGCTCTCCACAGATTCATTAGTAGGCGTGGAAAACCAGAAAGGATTTACAGTGACAACGGTGACAACGGTACTAACTTCAAGTGAGGTGATCGAGAGCTGAAGAGGTCATTACGGGAGTTGAATCAACAGAAGGTCGATCGTACACTGTCTGAACAGGAAATTCAGTGGCACTTTAACCCGCCTGGAGCTAGTCACATGGGCGGCGTTTGGGAAAGAGTCATACGCTCCATTCGTCATCTGATGAAAGGCATTGTGAAAGAACAGTTAATTACTGACGAGACTGTTAACAGTGATGGCTGAAATAGAGAAAATACTGAATGACAGACCGTTTACACCAGTGAGCAGTGATCCTACAGACCAAAAGGCTTTGACACCCAGTGATATTCTGTTGTTGCGAGCAAACGCAAGTTTGCCTGCGGCGTTGACAAATCGTCGAGATTGTTATCTTCGGAAAAGATGGCGACAAGGACAGTACCTAGCCAGTTTGTTCTGGAAAACGTGGATCAAGGAGTACTTACCTTTACTCCAGATTAGACAGAAGTGGCTTTCGTCAAAGAGAAATCTCCAGGTCAACGATCTTGTACTAGTCGTGGACGAAGGAACGTCATGGGGCCAGTGGCCGTTGGCTCGAATGGTAGAAGTGTTTCCAGACAAATCTGGGCATGTTCGATCCGCAAAGGTACGAACGGTTTCGTCGTGTTACGATAGACCTATAGCCAAGTTGTGTTTCTATATGGCAGGCGAGGTGGGACATAAATGGTATTTAGTGACAGTCATATATTCGAATTAATGTCTATCATATATTCTATTTAGTGATAGTCATTAAATCAACCAATCAGATACAACTTATTTTTTCTCAGCCAATCATAGGCATGGAATTATTGTCAAACACTAAATGATTTAATGATAGACACTAAATGATTTAATGATAGACACTAAATGATTTAGTGTCTGTCACTAAATCATTTAGTGTCTGTCATTAAATCCCCGTTGCTACCAATCAGAGCCAACGTTACAAAGATCCGCTGGGCGGCGCCAGCTACTTCCGTACAAAAATCTCTACCACCGCGGCGGCGCCATGTTTATGTGTAGCAGAGTCGCTAGTTGGTGACTGCTGATGCAGCCGAGACAGCCTTTCACTTTCAGGTGATTTTTTAACCAACTAAACTATATATAATGCCTTTATAACTGTAGTAAATCGACGTTAGGACTCTTAGGCTTGTTTTATTCAACATATAAGCATAAGTATAGCGTAAGTAACATAAATGTTAAAGGATAATGAATGTCGGTTGTAGAGTTCTAGCTGCAGTGCAGTTTGTCCGCACGCAGACGTTATAACTCCGCTTTGCTAATCTGAGGGTGCGGGTTTAACCCCACTACTGGGATCTGCGTCGGCTCGGACTACGGTGCAGTTTGTGTACACATGCCTATTATTACTAGTACTACGTTTGTAGCGCATACATTTAATGAAATCAGTTAAATCAACACATTAATTACTCAAGACGTATATCTAGTTATTTCTGGCTGTATAAAGCTGTTTCATTTTCCTAAATAGTAATATTTATTAGTATTTAAATAATAGTAATTTTTCTATGGTAAAATTTGTAAAAAGTTTGTTGCCATTTTTTTTACATTAAAAGTAAGATTACAACTAACGGGGCTAAAGCCTAGGACACACTAGCGATTCTGTACGCTGCCCGGCAGCGTGTATGTTTGCTCACGATTTTAGAACGCCGTACGAGCTGAGCGTACAGTTGGACACACTGTACGGTGTGCAACCACTCAAACGGCTTTCCTAGCTTTCGTTGCTACACTTGATTGGCTGCTAAAAACAATCGCGTTCGAACACGATTGTTCATTGTTGGGCGCGCTGGCGCAAGAGCATGCAAGCGCATGCGCTGTACACAAGCGATGAAAAACCGGGCGGAAATATTCAACATGTTGAATGCGAGCGATCAGCCGGGCGTATGGGATCGCGTGCGAAATATGCTGCCGTGAGACCGGACACACCGCGCGGACCGGCACCGTATTTATCGATCGCAAGCGGCCAGCGTAGAAAATCGCACAGTGTGTCCTAGGCTTAAACGTATCGTCAAATTCTTACCGGATAAGATTGTTTCTCAACTAGTTAAAAATCCAAAAAACCTGGACGATTTGATATTGTGTTCCTGACATTAATTGCTTGCTATGGGCTATGTATGAGTCACGAGTGTATGTTCACATCAAACAATATAGTAAAATAAGAAGTATATGTAGCAATTTAACCATAAAAAAGTAAACAGAATTACTTATATTTACTTAAAAAGTGGAAATATTTTTATTATTTTTATTATTTATGGTGACGTAATCACTTTAAAGGTTATACCTACTATTATCAGAGCATATAAATCAACTATCATAGTCACTTCGACTTTTGCCGTTTTGGAATTGAGATGCTTCACGTATAAACAATCCGTTTCACTTCTCTGTATATATTGTTTTAAGCATAGAACTAGACTATTCTAGTTCTATGACTAACTCTGCCACTCGTATATCCTGACGTTACTAAGAAGCATATAGTTCTCAAATATTCTTGCAATTTTTGCACATATGTTTCGTCTTATTTGCAATAATTCGTTGTTTACCGCATTTAATTCATTTGTTTGTAAACAAATTGCTATTAAATAACTGATAATAGGCCTATAGCACTAATTTTAATTTTATCATGTGCGATGACATGGAACTACAACTGCAAATACCTCAGCGCCGTCGAAGTGAAGTGGCAAATATGGCGGCGGGTGGTCCCCCAAACTTGCAAAATCTGCCTGCAGTACTTGCAGCACAGAACAATATGAACCAAGTACTTGGGCGAGCGACCTTTGTTGCTGGTTTTGTAGAAAGGTTTGTTTGTATTTTTGTACATTCAGCAGTGATATGCGGCTGTTTAGAGGCCGGCCTGTCCGAAAATAGATTCATCATGATCGTGCAACAAATAGCCTATGAGCAGTAGATCTTACCTATTTCCGGACAATGCATGAAATGACTCATGCATGCATGTACATGTAGCAGGAATGCACCGACCATCATCATGTGTTGTGTTGTTGTGTTTGTCTTAATTGCCAAAACATTTTTTTATGTTCTTCAATATTCTATCATAATCATAATTTTTAACTTCAGGTTTAATGCTAACAGAACGGGGCAACCACCTCCGACTATGGGGAAGAGGCATAACCTGAAACGCTCTAGAGGCCGACCAGTTGCCGAATATGCAATGAAAATCATTGTTTTGGATGGCCCCAATTATGAAATGAGGCCAATGTCGAAGTCCTCCAGAGACAAACTTAAAGAGGCCGGACTAGGTATGTAACAATTTAAACAGAATTGGCTAGAATGTCAGTATTTACAAAGTGGAATAATCGATGGTGATCACCCAAAATGTACATTCTTGTTGTTGTACGGAGAGTCGTCCTCCTTATCCTCACTTGTTCGGTGATACAGGGGACAAATTCCTTAATAGATTTTCAACAATTTTCGCTTGACTGGTAGGCAAAAACTTCTTCAATAAAAGTTTACTCTGACAGTAAAAATTTTAGAGGTCATTTTTATAAGGGGCGGTAAAACACCACCAGGCAGGAAAGAGGGGTGGGGCGCCCGCTCTTTTTTAATGGAATTGGGGACTGGAGATTTATAAATATTTATTCTAGTACATGTATTGTAGGCCCATGTATTATTTCTGTCAAATCTTTTTCCAGGTTGCCTCCAAGAAGATGGCAAGGATATGATTCGTGTTCCGGCAGATCTGTCGGAACACGAGTTTACCTCATTTCTTGTGGAGAAATGCCCCAAATTAAGGGGAATTAATTATATATTTCATGTATCAGATTCGCATGGGAAATTAGTTTCAGTAGCGTGTACTACACCATCTGCATTACGCCTAAAGACAAAAAACATCGAGGAGGGTGGTATACATTGTCCCTACAGAAGAGCTTACTTTGGTTAGTTTTTACTCTTACTCTTTACTTTTGTATCTCTTCATTGATTGTTATTAATATGGTTAATGTAGAACATGTAGAATCAGTTGTTGCAAACAGGTGCCAGCACTCTCGTTGTATTGTGTTTCAAATTCAGCCAGAAATTTTAAAAAAGACAGAAAAGGAAACTTGGACAGGGAACAGCTAGCACAGCAATTAGGGTGCTGAGGAAAAGGAAGGGCCTACAAAGCCATTCCCTATGTTACTAACTATAGCTGTTTAGCTGTTAAACATATGATATTATGTGCTGCTACTTGGATAAAGTTGCAACAGTTCCTGTCCGATTCTACAGTACTAGTAATCCTATCCATGCAATATGACAACCAGCCTGAGGATGTGCTAAGTTGGCCAAAAAGTCTATCATCATCAAAAGCTAAATTGATGTAGGGTGGTACATTCCTAAATATATTCAATATGGCTGGCATGGGGCAGGAGTCATGACCCAAATTAATCAACTCTAAGGACTATAGCATTTACGAAAAAATACCCTCGGTAAAAGTCCCCCCTCCTCTCGGTAAAAATTCCATTGGTAAACCCGTAAAAGCTCAAAATTGGGGTTCCCCGGAGTGGTTGTTATCGGAGGGAGTTTTACAGCATATATCTGTAATTCAGTATGCCCCCTGAAGGTTCTCGAGTGCTCAATTTCAGTTGTCTCATAATATTTTTGTTTTTTCAGGACCCTATCGAAGCCCCAGCAGCAAATGTTACAGTTGGAAGGGTATGTTTTTACCGTGAACAATATATGTATTTACCATTTCCAGTGTCCAGCAGGGCTTGAAACTAACGCTCGCCCGCTCGCCCGAGGCTAGTAGAAATCAGTAAGGGCTAGCAGAATGTCTGGGCTGACCATGCAGCCCTGTTGGCGAGTGGGAATGCCTACCAGATAACATATTACTAGTACTTTTTCAGCAACTACTAACCCGAACGAACTAGTAATAAGTAGTATAAAACTTGCGTGTGCAAACATAATAAAATTGCAAAACCTAAACATGACAGCCACGATGCTGAACGCTGCCATATTGGATACTGTAGACTTTACTACCGGATTAAACCACATTAATCCCCTCACAGTGTATGTACGCAATACGTTTCTGTTCTACTTTCTGGTTATGTTCGTGGAACGGTTAGTTTACGGTTCAGCTGATCTCAAGGTTAAACAGTACAATATGCCTCCCCTTTTCAAACGAAAAGATGATTTCAATTTGATGTTTGCTAAATAAGCAAATTAGAAACTCAAATTTACTTATACTCAGTTGGAATCACCCTGGCTAATATACAATCCAGTCTCTGTGTCTATAATTGACGTGGAATAGTAGTCATGGTTTTGTCAGGTACTGTTATGAAAATAACCCGCATATATATACCTTTAAACCTACATTCCTGTAACAGGTATTCTAAGCTTTTTATAATACGAAGTTCATCGTAACACTAGCATAACACGTACGCTTGTATGTGGCTTATATTCAGTCAACTAATATAATTGCAATACAACTCTACAAATCTTAAACTATCACAAACAGGATAACTCAACTTATAACTCTATACTGTACTTGTACTAACTACTAACAACCTCTGTACTTGTAGTAGAGATAGTCACAAACGGTTCAACTTAAACATGAACTTTCACATTTCAGTAAACTAACTAATAGTTCTAATCGTTAATTACTAAGGAATATAATTATTCTGCTCTTATAACATACCTGATGTGTATACTATAAATCTATACTGAATCTAGATTTTCACAAAGTCAATGAATTTCGCAGAATGCATCTCAGAGCATCTAAAATCAAAACCCAGATTCCCCCCCCCCGAAAATGGCAAAACTGTGCTCACCACGTAGCTTCAGCGCCGCACTTCAGAAAACTAAGGGCTGATAGATATGTTTAAGGGCTAGTAGATTTTACAGGTCACTAGCCCTGCTGGCTAGTGAACATTTTAGGTTAGTTTCAAGCCCTGTACAGTGTGACTCATGGGTGTAGCCTGTGGTAGAGGGGACCATTTAACATGTTTAAGAAGGGGTTGTTTAGTCTAACCGGCATGTTAATATATAATATTTCCGCCGGAACGGGTGCATTGTACGTACTGGTCACCGGTAAACGAATATACGTTTTGGCCAACAACACAGCAGCACAGCTAGTCTATAGACATAGTAGGCCCAGGCCTTATCAGTTGGTTGTTGCTGCTTTCCTGGGCTGCTTTCTCCCCAGAGCATGGATGCTAATGGGGAATAATCGGAGTAACCAGTTGGTCATGGACTTAGAGTAACGTGAATTTCCCAAGGCATCTACAAACAAACAAGGTTGTATACATGGCTATTCTTAGTAAGTTGTTCTTTCATTGTATCATTTCAGGACCCTATCGAAGCCCCAGCTGAAGCTCAGCCAGGTCCAGCAAATATCAGAAGGGTATGTTTTAAATTTGAACAGTTCGGCAATACAGTCTTCGCTATCACGAACCTGGATGTACATGTAAATTGAATTTCCCAAGGCATGAAGACCATCCCAGACAGTTAAGGAGATGAGTTCCCAAGGCCAAACAAATTCAAATCTAGAGACTTCCAAGACTCAATCAAAGATTCTGTACAAACAAACAAGGCTGTATATGGCTATTCTTGGTAAGTTGTTCTTTCATTGTATCATTTCAGGACCCTATCGAAGTCACAGCTGCAGCTCAGCCAGGTCCAGCAGATGCGACAGTTAGAAGGGTATGTTTTCACTGTGAATAGTTCAACAATTAGTATTCACTATACTAACTGCAGGTTAATACCTGGGAATGCTTGCAAAATTGGCAATATTTTACTTAAAAGGGCAGCCCATTTAGATTTACAATGACATGTATCTACCCTAACCCCTGCTACCAACTAAGGACCAAAGACACATGGTGTGCCCCTTCGCCTCACTTCTCAGGTTGTTGAATAAAATGTGGTCCTAAATTTTGCTGACACTGTCTTGGGGACTCCATTCATCATTCATATTTTTGATCCACCATGGGAAAACTAGGCATAAGTCACACAGAAACTTTCTTATTTTAATTAACCCGCATCTACTCACAGTGGAGTGAATCCAAATAAAAATAAAATCAATGAAATATGTCCATAGTTTTTATTGCTGCTCCTATAGCTAGTGATGTTCCGATTAATTGATGATCATGCATATGACCAATCGATTAATCAACCAATGATTAATCAATCGTGACTTTCATGAGCTGCCAGTGGGTCGAATGGGAATTCTTGCCGAGGTGGCCCCTCAATTGCCAGTAGCAGCAGCGCCTCCAAAGCTGACTCACTCAGCCTGTTCCTCATGTAGCCATTCCCATTAGAGCTGTGCGTCGGATCCGATAATCCGAATCCGATCCGATCCGAATCCGATCGGATTCGGATTCGGATCGGATTTACAATTTTTAAAGAATC